GCGCTGGTCGAGAAGCACCAGCACTTGCCCGAGGTGCGCCGGATCAAGGCGCACACGCACCTGCCCAAGCGGGTGCTGAAGGCGGCGCTCGTCAAGAAGACAGTGCGCGGCACGCAGCAGAAGCGCGAGAAGAACCGGCGCGCGCACTCGGCGCCGGGGGCGGTGCCAAAGGTGCAGCGGAAGAAGAAGCAGGTGTGGAGCGTGCAGGAATGATGAGACTCTCGGGACGGTGACGATTCTCACTCGGTTGACTGTACGTGTCTGACTGTGCGCTACGTCGTACGCGTGGTAAGCTCGGGTAAGAGTGCCCCCCGGGCTATAGTATAGTCGCTGCCTTTGACCCCGAAAGAAAAAGAAAAAACTCGAGGAGCGACGAGACACGTCACACGAGTGCGTGGCGGATTATCTCACATTAATTAGTCCCAGCTAAATTTAATTATTAAGTCGTTCCTCTCTCTCCTGGCACCTTGCCCCGTCAGCGTCATCCTCTACCTCATCGCTCTCCTCGGCCTCGTTCTGCGACGACGCCGACGCCTGCCAGGCCCTTGCTCTCGCGGCTTCTCTCGCCTCTCGGCGTAATCCGCACGACCGGATTACTTTTTGTGGAGGATTTTACTAGTAAAATTTTCCCACGCAAATACTTTTTGCTTCGCGCCCTCTGCCGTTTGCATTCCGCAGCGTGTCGGCCCCAGCGGCGGTGCTGCGCGGGAGGCGGCCGCGGGCACGCTGGGCTCGAATTGCCGTTGGCCATGCCGCCCTGGGGTGGAAGATCGGTCTCGCCGGTCAAGAGACACGGCGTGCACACGCTCAACACCGAGCAGCGGCTGAATTTGGTGCTGCAGCAGGACGCCAAGCATGGGGCCTCACCGACAACACCCCGCACTATCCGGCGCCGCCGTGCGAGCAACGCCCAGCAGCGGCACTCGTCGACCTCGGTTTGGTGATCCGACAAAAAGCGGAAGCTTCGATTTCGCAGGTGCGGCCGCTGCTGGTGGCCTCTTCGACTTTGTAGGGGCGAGCAGTGGCAATGAAGCAGCTTGGGGCGTGGCAGCAGCAGTGTCTGTGAGAGAGGGACGACACGTCGCACTGGCGCTGCGCCCGCGCCCCGACTTTGACGCCTGCGCCTGCGACATCAGCGACGGCGCTGGCGGCGGCGGCGGCATCTGGAAGCCCTCGCTCCTCGACGCGCCTGAGGGGGAGGCGCTTCTTCTTGCGGACGTGCGGCTCATCTACCAGGCGCTCGATGGTCTCGACTCTCCGGTCGAGGTGGTTGCACGCCGCTCTACGGGCGGGTTGCCGCGAGGAGTGGGCTTCACCGCGGTGGTGCTCTCCCCTGCCGACGCAGCCGGTCTCGCCGTTCGCCCACACGAGCTCGGCCAGTGCCTCATTCGCATTCCGCCGCCGGTCCCTCCGGAGCGCCTCCAGAGCGGCGGCGACACCCTCGCGATCGACGGCGACAGTTGGTGGGACGGACTGGGACACTCCTTCACGGCCGAGACTGCCGGCGCGCCACCATCGCGTGCGCTCATCGAGACGGGCGT